GTACAGCTCAGTGCTTGTGCATTAAAATTCAACTCCATTTGGAATAATCATTTAACCCAAAGATGACTGTGACAGTCTAGCCCAGGGGTAGCCAAACTCCGGCCCACCCAGCTGTGGTGAAACTACAAGTACCATCATGCTTGTCGCTGCGAGAATCTTGCAAAGCCTCACTGGACTTGTAGTTTTACCACAGCTGGAGGGCCGGAGTTTGGCTACCCCTGGTCAAGCCAGTTTCAGGTGGATCAGGAGATGATTTGATTTGTATGAAACACCAGCAAAAACAGCCATGCGAGGTTTAAGGGAACAATTGGTTGGTAAATGTCTGATTGCCATTATTTCCCACTATAATTCAGTGTGAAACGCGTGTGTAGTGCCCCTCTTCTGCCTAGAGATGAACAAACTCACAATAGGGACCTGGCATCCAGCTATAATGCCTGGGGGCAATTGGATCATGGCTGTATGTCCGACTGCCCTCTTAGGCCTTGTTCACACTAAATGCAGAGCAGATCTGCATGATTTTCTGCACACGCAGTGCAGTGGGTTGTGCCACGTTTTTGATGGGCCGTTTTTGGTTAAAACATTTTTTTTTAGCTTAAAAGGGGCTTTCAGTGCGTTCCAGGGCGATTGCATGCGTTTTTGATGCGTTCCAGAGCAGGTAAAATAAGGCCTGCTGCAGTTTTTTTTACCTGCTCTGGAACGGAACGCTGCGATGTGAACTGGAGCTAAAAATACCTTTGGAATACATTGGACGCAGTTTTGCTCCGGTCTGTAACTGCTCTGCTCCTGGAACGTGCTTGGTGTGAACAAGGCCTTAATCCTATGGTGAGTGGGTAAGGAAACGTTTTAGGAGAGAAACAGGGCTGCCGTTTCTGACCACCTTGGGAAATGCCAGGTACCCTTTTTTTTTTTATTGGTGAATACAACTAATGGAAATGTCAGTCAAATGCACAGTCCTGGTAAGTGTATCATCATGTAAGATAGAAGGATCAGCATGACGATTGGGGAGCAGACAAAATCCGGATCAGTTGCCTATGGTAACCAATCAACTTCTCAAGTTTGTTCAGTTAAGCTTTGAAAATAAAAGGTGGATGCTGATTGGTTGCCATGCACAGCTGCTCTGGATTTTGTCTGCTCCAGTTTTGATAAATTCCCCTCCTAGTATTTAAAGTGACATTAAAGTCAAACTTTTTTTCCCCCTTTCCCAATCCTGCTGTAAGGACTTACCTTAAATGATGTCTCTTAATCCGATCTTCTTCTTTCCTGTAGTTTTTAGCTGTCCCTCCAGCGCTGGGTGTGGGTCACCGATCCAGTGCTGACTCCTCTGTCCTCCTCTTCTCTCACGGTGTCTGTGCGGGTGCACGCTGCTCCATATACTTACCTTGTGTCTCTCCCCGTCTCCTGGCCCAACATCTGAACTGCACTTGCGCCTGCCCCAAGATCTTTTGCGGCCACCCAAGACTCTTCAGATGTTTGGACGGGATCGCACGGCGGAGACACGGGTAAGTTTAAAGCCTTTTTAAAAGGTGTTTTTTAAAATAATGTTTTTGCATATATCTACTGCTTTCTAGTTGACTGCCAACATTTGTTTAGCCAGTCTTGTGATCAACACCCTTCCAAACAGTACAGTCATCTCCTTGATCACTGTGACACCGCACAGCTTGGTTTAAGACAACACTCTTCAGCTTGCTGATTATCAGTGGAGAAGCAACAACACACTTAAGGTCCCCACACACCTTGCGATAATCGTACAATAATCGCTGGAAATCCCGAGATCGTACGATTATCGCAAGGTGTGTGGAAGCCGTGCGACCTCTACTACTGTAAGGTGGCACGACTTTTATCTTGGGAACATGTTCGAAAACCCGCCGAGAATTGTGCGATTTTCGGCTGGTGTGTAGCATGTTCGTAAGATAAAAGCCGGACGGGCCGTTGTGCGCAAGCGCACACTGCCTGTTCGGCATTGCGGTCCTGGCCAATCAGGAAGCCAGGCGGTGGGTAACGAAGGCTCCATGCTAGCGGAAGTACTGATAATCTGTATTGGGGAGTACTGAAATATAAATATCGGTACTCATACTCAGTACCAAAAAATCTGTATCAGTGCACCTCTGATGTAAAGTATATGTATATATGCGCCATTGCTCTGGGGTTGTCGTCCTCTGAGGCTGGCTTCACTATTTAGTGAGTCAATGACCTCAAATGAGTATGCAGGACAGCAGATTCAGACCTAACAGACTGCATGCTGGTTCCAGGTCAGTTACCTTAACCCAGGGATGTCCAAACTGTGGCCCTCAGGCTGTGGTGAAACTACGAATCCCATGAGGCTTTGCAAGATTCTCACAGACATGACTCCCGGAGAGAGATGCCTCCTGGGATTTGTAGTTTCACCACAGCTGGAAGGCCGGAGTTTGGACATCCCTGCCCTAACCAATGTGTCATTGATCTGGAACAAGCATGCAGTCTGTTAAGTCTAAGTCTCCTGTCCTAAATACTCATCCCAGGTCATTGACTAAATAGTGAAGCCAGCCCCAGAGCAATGGCATCCATCATATTTCTCTCACAGGTTCTCTTTAAAGGTGTTTTCTAGTTTAAAATTTACAGAACTCTAAATGATTCCGCTCGGCAGCCAGTACAGCTTTGGTTTATGAAAAGCTGCTCTAGATAATGAGGGGTTTTTATTTTATTTTTTCTTCAAGTAAGTTTTTTTTTATTTCCTATCAGCAGAAGTCGGTGTGCCATTAATTTGCATACTTTTTATGTCTCAGTTCTTTATGGACCGTTTGAAAACATCCTAATTGCCCTGAAAATTACAAGTTCTGTTCCCACAGATCGGCACCAGTGCGACCTCTGTACAAAGGGAATTACAAATGTTTCCATGCTGCAGCCCTTTAGGGCATGTACTCGGGCAGGCAGCGCCAACAGTTGGGGAATAAAAAGCTGAAGTGAGGGGTGTGAAGCCCTTCCATAGCGTGTCGGCACGCAGACATTCGTGTGACCTTGTTTGGCTCCAGCGACGCAGGCAGACCAATTTAGTAGTGAGAGAACCCAGCGCCTGTCCTCTTAGATTGCTGTGCAGTGGGGGGCTTATTTCACATACTGTGCTGAGGCTACTTAAATGCTGCGGTGCTGTGCGTTTTCCATTTGTGCTGTGCTTTGCTTGATCAGTCGTTTAATAGAATTAATTTTTAGGTTATTAATTTATATGCAGAATTATAATGTTTATTGAAACAAATTTGTGTAATCTTGTCCATCACCACTTAAAATAAACAGTTTGTAATTTAAAGACTTTGAAGACCCATGAAAATCCCTCCTTATATGTCGCAGTGGCCGACTTTGCATTCCAAACCCGTGACATATAGCACAGATACAGGCTGTGAGCTGACGCATGGTGGTTTTAAACTTTGTAAAGCCCCCTCTTTAACCAACTGAGAAGCGTTCGAACCTGTCAGGTTAACTGATGTCTGGATCACTGTTAGGGAGATTTCCCTCACTTCCTGTTTGGACAGGATGTGGTGGGAAGTCTCTCAAAGTGGGCAGCACCACTGCAAGGGAGTTCTGCTTTTACTTTCATGAAAGCAAGATTGCATTTTTATTTAATGCCTTTGTATGTTTTTTTTCCCCTCCGTGTGCATTGCACATACTGTAGTTTTTTTATATGAACTTCCTGTGGACTTGTGCATACTCCAGAGGCAACTGAAAGTCATCTTTTTAGTGTGATGACTACAGCACAATGTGCCAACAATATTTGGTATCACCACACACACCCACCCTGGAAGGAGAGGAATCATTCTGTGACCTGTGTTTATGGTTAACGCTAAGTTGATGAGGTGTAAAGACTTTTAAAGTGCCACCTATGGAGAATTTTGAGTATCAAATTTTGTGTCCATTCACTAAACTCAGTCTTCTCTTTTTACAGAAGATCTGGAGACTTTATTTTGTGTGCATTCACATTAAAATCACAGTGTATGTTTTACTGAAAATCTAGATTTACAGTTGCTCTAATATTGTGTGACATAAAGTGTCAGTTACCATCATTTGATTCTATGGGCCCTCTGCTTTCAGAAAACATAGTGGGGGTAATTCATCAAAACTGGAGCAGATTTGCACGCCAACCAATCAGCTCCTCTCTCTCATTTTCAAATCTTGAGCAAACTGAAGAGAAAAGCTGATTGGTTGCCATGGACAACTGCCCCAGATTGTCTGCTCCAGTTTTGATAAACCCCCC